TACGAAGAAATTCATTGCCCTGAGTGTCAGACAAAGTAATAACTAGGATTCTTTGTATTAGGGGAACAAGTAAAATTGGCAACATGAGCAAATACTTTATAAGAGTTCTAAGGTCCAAGTGAAAATATATTAGACATATGCAGAACTTCAGTGTTTCAACATAGAAAGGTTGATGAGAACACTGGGTTTTACTGCACCACTTTTAGCAAAGAGGCATATCAAGGCTTAGAGCAGGGCTGTTTAGTAGTTAAATCTGGTTAATACATACCTGACTAGGCAGCACTGTGAAATAAAGCATAGCAGGACAGTTATGCATTAAAAGCAAATAACAAAACTAAATCACATCTTGCACCTTTAAAGGCAAAATCACGTAAATTATCCAATCTCTGAAGTAGGTACTTGAGGGCAAAATAAGCCTGTCTCTCTTCAGTCTGCTCTGTAGCATCAGCAAGGGCAATGTAGCACTGCAAAACAAGTGACTGTACTAAGGGTCCCAACTTTCGTCTCGGAATTGCCCTAAAACTTCCATGAAGATCACGGCAACAGCCAATTTGCACCCTGACATACCTGGGCTTAAGCACTGTTTTGCATCCCTATTCAAAACATCCTGTGGACCAGATCTACTGATCCCTGCACAGCTGAGTTTGTCCAGCCCTGGTAAACCTTCTGCAGATTCACACAGAGAAGATGGTCAAGATACAAAAAGATGGGCTAGCACCTCATGGCAGTGGAAAAGGGAGCTTTAAGAGGTGAGACCATTAAAACAATGGCTCTCAGTTCCAGAATGGCAAGAAGAAACCTTCTTCATTCCTTGGGATGGGAGAGGGATTTGATACTCACAGTTTTGAGGCTTATATCCTTTGCTCTGATTGCTGTATTTGTCTCCAGCAATCCAATAGTTACAGATGATGAACACAATCACCTTCAAGATTAAAAAGATGACATGTTTTAACAGGTATCAGAAGACTTCCTTTTGATGTGATGAAGCGGTTTTCACTTCAGAAAGCATTTCTCACAAAATCACATACTCAAGGTTAATCAAAATCTGAGGTGTGGGAATCATGAAATGAATGGAAAGATGGCCTAGCAAATTTATAACAGAGTTACATGAAGCACAGGGAAAGGACTGAAAAAGCAGCTGCATATTGCATGAATGATAGGAACACTGAAAGAATGGATAACAAAGGAAACCAGATGCCGCAGAGAGATGCTGAAAGGCTTTGATCATTCAAAGACTTAAACCTGACAGTACTTAATGCTGATGGACAGATATGAAATGAGGATGATAAAAAGAATGGGATGCTAAGTAATAACATTCAGCTTCATGAAGAATGAAAAGTGAAAAGGGACAAAAGAGTCAAAGAATCAATCAAAACTAATCCTGGCTGGTATAAACACCTGATGGAAACGGGCTCTGTAAATGAAAAGACAGCATGGAGAAAGAGGATCCTAACCCAAAACCCCCGACATTTGCATCATACATCATCAGGAGATTTCAGAATATGCCCTAGTGGGAGCAAAACTGCTCCTGAAGGTGCAGTTATAAGATGGCAAAGCAAAGGAATTTGCTTCTCATCTGTTCCCTGCCTAAAGCACACTGAGACTTCTATTGCTCTTCTCAACCACGCACCAAAGGAGCAGCCTTGGAAACCAGCCTTAGAGATGTAATATTATTGCTGCATTGCATTTGCTTTCACATTATTCCTATACCTGCGTAAAAATTGTCACAGTGATGATATGTCTGAGATGCTGTCAGATTCATAGCTGCAGGGATTTGTTGAAAATAAGAATTTTCTGAAGGACAGTCATGCGCTTTTTCTTCTTTTTTTTTCTTTTTTTTTTTTCCTTTTTTACAATTCAATATGTTTTTTTTTTTCCTAAAGGAGGTTTATGAAAAAATTTCCAAACAGAAATTTTGTCTGTTACTCAATATTCTTGCAAGAAATCATTCCTCCTCCATCTCACATGGAGGTAACTCCCATGGTTATGTTCTTGAAGCACTGCAATACTTTCTGCTATTAGTTTATTATTTGCTATTTTACCAGTATTCCTGACAGTAGATTCATTACTTTGAATATTCATGAACAGGAATGTTTGCACAAAGGAGTGCAAACAAATGTAAAAATATTCAATTTTTAAAATGTAACCAGAGCTTCAGAAACTGGAATGCATCCATGAGCTACACTTGACAAGGAATGTAAATGTCTTGCAGATGGGACACATATTAATGATATAAAACTGTTACCTTATGTCACATACCATATCTGGTGATATCTGTACTCACAGCTTGAAAAAAATCAGCTTACCTGAATTGCATAAAAATTAACTACTGAAAGCATCTGTATTGCAGCTTGTAATGCACAATTTTCCATGTAATTACAGTGCAAGTCTATCTCTAATTTTGGACATTAGACTGGTTCAGAATCAGACAAATCGTTGTTTCATCACTCTAAAGTTAATTGCCAAGATTTAGTTCTGCCAAACAATCAAAATGATTCTGATAGGAGAAATAGAAACCCTTCTCTCAGTATCCTGGAATGCCCAAATAAGGAACAATATAATCTTAGAGAATTCTTAGAGAATTAAACAAGGGATGTACTCAAACAAAAAGGATGTAAACTAGGTTCTGTGTAGCCAAACAAGATATAATACAGAACAAATGTAAGGTTTTAGTGGTGAAACACAATACTGCTGTGCCTGCTCAAGAACTGAGGTCCAAGAGCATGAAGAAAACCCAGAAGGACCAAAGAAGGACTTCCAATAGGGGTGTGACTCTGTAGACCAAACTAGTAAATATGTATTAAGTAAGCAAGACTATCTAATGAATATGTAAAAAGCATGTGTAATAAAAAGCCCTGTCCATCTGTCGTTTGGCACGTTCGATTAGAGGAGCTATCCTCCAAAAGTTCAGCATGCTGAATAAAGAATGCCCTTTTTAACATCTACAAGTGGATATTAAGAAGTTTGTTTCTGCCACTTTTCAGCATCACATCTTTCTAGAACAAGGGCAGGCATCACTGCTCCCATTGTGGCTTAAAAAGGTGAGGTTATTTTACCAAAATTCAAAAGAATTAGCCTGTCTTTAATTTTGATGACTGTGAACATAAACAACAATAAGCGATCTGGAGCTTAATTACTGGCCTGCTTACTCAGCAGCTGAGCTACTCCCTGAAGGCTGCTCTCAGCAGAAATAACTCCCCAGAGCTGGAGCATCTATCTCAGAGAGGTTCTCCCTGCTCCAAAATTCAGCACCCTGTGCTTAAATTTAGCCTTTGTCTCATCAAATTTCTGCATGAAATGGTTGCAGACAAGAAGATTGCCTCAACAGTTGCTCTGAAATGGCTTGATTTTGCATAATTTCAAGAAATCAGATTTTGCTTAAATCTTTTAGCTGTAATCTGTGCTTCACCACAAAAATTGCAGATTAGGACTCAGAGGTCACTTTCTATGGTCACAACCCAACCATCACCTTTCAGATGTGAACCTTGAGCCTTTTTATTTGGGACAACATCACTGGAGACATCAGTATTTAAGCTTATTTATTCCTGTTGTTGTATTCAGAACTTTTCCGTTTCGCTAAAGTTGATCTGAAAATAAAAAATTACAAAAATTTCAAATAGAGAAAAAATTGTTGCTGTTTGGCAACACAGAGGGTTGCTCATTTCTATAGGTAAGAAAAAGACAGGATACTGTAAGTCATCCATTGTGAAAACTGTGCTCTATAACAGAAATAATAATGTCAAATAGGTCATTCTTACTTCAGTTTTTTGGGGGAGATGGGATGGGGAGATTCACATTTATTTTGCTCTTTTGAAATTTACTTAGCAGCATTTGGCAAATATTTATCCCTACATAAAAGCTCTGGTATTTTATTTGTTAATTTCCCTAATTATTTTCTAGGGAAAAAAAAAAAAAAAAAAAAAAAAAAAAAAAAAGGCAGCCAGGAATTGAAGTATTAATATCATTTAAAATCCCACCAACAAGAGTAATGTGTAACCAACATTTTCCCACCCACGCACAGAGACACACATATCACAAAGAATGTATGGATTCCTTCCTATAGATAAGTGTGCCAACTAACAGCCTTTTTGGGATACTAACAGGGATCTCTGTCTAACCACTGACTGTAATAGGCTCACAATATGTGAAAACCATGGAAAAATATCCGAGACTACTCTTAATTTATACCCACCCCTGCAAGAAAAAAAAAGTAAAATTAATTTTTACGTGTTGACTAATTTCAAACCTACTGATTATCTTCCCAAGGGCTCAGCTTATTTTCAAGCTAATAAGCGTACTGTACTACAAGGGCTAAGGGGAGAGAAATTCCCTTTGTAACCTAGCAATGGAACAATGTGTTTGTAGGAAAACTAAGTGAGGTTGATAGACTTGTTAAAAGATCAAAAGAATTTTTCGGCAGACTGCCCCAAGAGTAAATTGTTATAGCTGTACCAGCTCTTGGAAACATCAGATATTCCTGGCAATGGTGTTACAAACTTCCTTAGAGATCATATGGTTTCCCTAATACCACCAGCACATCTATTAACTTCAGTTTCCAAAGGATACATCTCCCTCTCTGTACAAGCAATGCTCCGGCCAGCTTGCAGAATTAAGCAGAAAATCCCTCTGCTCACTCTTCAGACTCTGTGAGAAAATGTATTATAGTACTGGTCACTACCGATGTATTTTAGCATCTTGATTTAAGGAATGCTGCTCCCATAGAGAGGGAAGGTTTTCTTGTGCTAGATTTCCAAGCCTCAGTCCTACAACTAGGAAAAAAAATGTGAGAGTAAACTAATATCTAGATTTGTTATGATGAAATACTCAAAAGAGAGAACAACAAATGTATCATAAAGATTTTTAAGAAAATGGAGTTTCCTTATGTGCTTCAACATCTCAGCTAGATTGTGAGTTCAGTTCAATACCCTTGGAGCAAGGGGGATGGACAACTCCTTCTTTTAACTTAATTTTTAACTTCCCCTTCTATTTTTTTCCATTTTGGTTTGACTGCCTGTCCTTCCCTGCCATTTGTCAATGAGAAAACAGGACCTTCAGAGGTTTTCAGAATGCTTCTTATTCCCCTTTCCCATGTTATTTTTCTTTTCTGTAGCTTTATTCCTGTAGACTTCGACCTGCCTTCTCTGGTTTCTGACCACCTGAAAATACAACAGTGAGGCTGCATGAATTGCATCTCTTGGGAAGTAGGAGTGGTGTTTCTTGAGTGAACGTTTACTATGTTGCTCATTTACAGTCTGCTTTGACATTAAACATTAGGAAGCTGTTGTGAAGTGGAGCGGGGCACAGATCCTACCTTATGTCATACTACATTCTGGAGAATCATATCACAGGTATATTTTTGTTCTCTGTTACATTATCTTCCCGTGCTTATTTACAAAGATGGACAATGTTTCCACAGAAAAACTCAGCGCTGCACTGAGCTCAGACGACCAGTTTCCCCAGTGCTGCTGCCTGGGTACTGTAACATGCACAAAAGAACTGTAACATGTGACCTATGAAGACAGCAGGTATCAGTCTTGCTACTGGACATCAGTCTTACCTTAGTAGCTCTCATTTCCCTCTCTCATACATAGCAACTTCGTATCCCTGCACATAAGCCCATCTGAGCCTTTGAGTTCAACAACCTGAACGAAAGATATGTATAATAAAGCCTTAACCACATTTAACTTTTCAGAAGCATCTTGTCCTGGTTTTGGTTGGGATAGAGTTAAATTTTTCTTAGTAGCTGGTACATTGTTGTGCTTTGGATTCACTATGAGAATAATGTTGATAAAACACTTACTTGCTAAGAGTGTTTACCCTAATTAGAGGACTTTTCAGCTTCCCATGCTCTGCCAGTGAAGAAGTGCACAAGCAGCTGGCAGAGAACATAGCTAGGACAGTTAATCCAACCGACCAAAAGGGTATTCCACACCACAGAACATCATGCCCAGTATATAAACTGGAGGGAGCTTGCCAGGAGCTGCTGAGCTGCTTGGTGAGTGGCTGGGCATCATTTGGCAGGTGGTGAGCAACTGTAGTGTGCATCACTTGTTTCTCTGGGATTTTATTCACCACTCTCTCTCTCTTTTCCATCAAAAGTAATAGTAGTAGTAGTAATGTATTTTATTTTGTTTAAATCATTAAACTGTTCCTATGTCAACACAAGAGTTTACCTTTTTCCCAGTTTTGCTTCACATCCGACCAGGGGGCGGGGGAACTGAGTAAGCAGATGCGTTGTACTTAGTTGCTGGCTGGGGTTAAACTGCAATACCCCTTAATTACTTATTTCTATTTAAGAAGCTCAAGCCTTGTGAGAATATATTCAAATTTTAAGACCCTTTTTGGAATTTTCATTTTTATTGTAATTATGCACTTGAAAACTAAGTTGTAGCTCCATAGCCATCAGAAGCCTTTCTGTGTGAAGAGGCTCAGGTACCTTGGCCCAGCTTGTGATCTTACACAAAAAAACTCAAGTTTGATCCATTGCCCTCTTTTGCCTAAAGAAATGCAGTGGTTTCAAAATCATACACTTTCAGATAAGTGCAAGTTATTCTCTCACTGGTATGTGGCCAGATGAACACAAGGTTTTTCAGGTTACCCAAGAAAATTACACAGTGATTGAATGGATGCAAGGTCACACTAGTAATAAATCATTGTTTAAAGATACTTTGGGTCATTAGCAAGGATTATGGTGACTTCTCTATAACAATAACTGTCTTAGTCCAGATGTACTTCCTACAAGGCGTGCCATTGCACTCAAAGCAGTTCAAGACAAAGAGACACAAGAGACCAGAATTTATCACAAATGATTCCTCTTAGTATGTTAGAAATTATTCCTAAATATTTCCTCTTATCTCCAGATCCAAAACATTAGAGGGTTTTTCTACTGCTACACAAGTAAAAAGAAGGCAGTTAATTGTGTTAGGCCAAGGAACTTGGAAAAGGAGTGGGATCTATAAGGAATCTGAAAGCAAATCCCTAATGAATCAGGCAGCTCTCCTCTGAGACCTCCCCAGCAGCTAGCCTGCCATGTTTTCCTAGGGTAACACAACTTCAAAATTTCTCCACTCTGTTGCTTCTGCTGCTGTATATGGGGCATGGCATTAAATACCTGTATCTCTGACTATGCCAGCTGGCTACCAATTGGTTAAACACTGATTATTAATGCAGTGCAGAAGACAAATCTGCATGAAACCACAATTACCTTTATTCTTTTATCCAGTATCTGGCTTCCAGTTTTCTTTATATGAAATATATTTCCCAGCTATGCAGAATTACATTACAGCAAAGAATGCAATTAATATCTTTCACATACCTTGAGAATCCTGACCCTCTGATGTAATTGGATAATCTCTCACTAACATCACTAAGATCGTTTCCTCCTCTGGCAGTGATGTAACCTGTTAAAAAGCAAAAATGTCTTCAGTAAAATTAAAAAACAGAAAGGGTTCTCTTCAGCTACATGCTACATACCACCATGATCTCCAAGGCCATGCTTCAAACATCACATATTTACTCTCACTGTAACCTGTGTATCTGTAAATGAAAGAACACAAAGAGATGTTGTCTGGGATAGAAAAGGTGTGATTCTGTTTGCAAAGTCATCACACAGTCAGTGTGTGAGACTTTTTCTATGTAAAGTTTTGACCAAGTTTGGCAAAATATCCCGGAATAAAAGAACCATAAAAATGCAAATTTCAATTTGCTGTTGCAAAATTCATGAGCAGAACTTTTTAAGGGAATATCTCCAAATGCTATACTCAATTGTTAAAAGTGGAATTTACAGCTGTCTGTATCCTTGGGACAAGGGAGCGCCAACGTAAAGGGATATTGGCAAGCCCATAGGTGCATTGCCCTTCTCTGTCCTTCCCTAGAAGAATTAGGCTAAGATATTCTGATACTTAAAGGATGTTGTAGGAACATTTAATGGCTCAGTAAGAGTTCTCTGCCTCATAATTATGCATTGGCAGACCACATCAAATCACTGAACAATGTAAATACTTCTACAGAGGATCAGTGAATAAGGAAGGCAACACTGTGCCACTAGTCCACAAACCAAGGCACAGTTTTACAAGGAGTCACTGAAAAATATACATTTAGGATATTGCTAAACGATCTACCAAGATGGGAGACTGAAGCAACATCATTTTAGCTTTTCAGTTACCATTTTCCTGATGCTTCAAAAAATTGTATCTTAAAATAAACCAGGCACAAAAGCAATTGAATAAATGATTTTTAAAAGACACACAATTGTAAAAATCATTATTTTTTGAAGGAAATTCATATTAAATGCATTAATGTTTCAACAGTTGATATAAAAGTTAGTGGGAACTGCAGAACACAAGAAATATATGTGGCAAACCTGAAGTTAAATCTCTACATACAACTAAGCCAAGAAACGAGACACTTCCCTGAGAAAAACAAGCAATTTCTTGTTATTGCCAATAACAAACCATGAGTGACATAAACCAACAAAATTTTTATAGTAGAACTAGATCTAAGTTTTAGACAACAGATGTGCAACTCAAAGCTGTTCTTAGCAAATAAAACTCCACTTTAAACACTCCACTCCACTCTAAAACACTTTGGAAAACTAAAGGAAGGGATATTTGTATCATCCACAGGGTGTTAGTAAAATAATTCTTCTCTGCTGACATACTATAAATATATTTCCTACAGCAAATAATTTCTGATTTAAAATATTAGGCCTACCTTTTCAAAATGACTAGCCATTTCTCAGTCCTCAGCTTCTGATGCCTCAAAATAGCATGATCTTCAGAAAGGCAGGTACTTAAAACCTCTACAGGACAGGTTCCCCCAAGGCATCTGAAAGTTTAAATTTAAATTGAAGAAGTTCATGAAGGGTTTAGACACAAGGACTGAAATCTCCTGGTTTTCTCATAGAAGACGTAGCAGTATGGGCAACTACAGAACAAGTTTTACATTTCTCATAGTCATCCAGACTGATGGAAAAGGGTCAGTTCTAGCGATCAGGAGATGATTTAAGCTTTTAAAACTTTTAATTCATGGCTTCTAGCTACAGCTGTAGGAGGAGGAATATTTAATTTTGAAATCTGGATTTAAAAAAATTTATCACATTTTCAGATCTCTGTTTCCAGTGTGGTTTAGTGACCATATCATGTCGAAAAGTTCCTTCCACAGAAGGTAAGTAGTAGCATTTACTTGGGTGTCTAAGCTGTATTTCACTTAACTGAATCATTTTTTAACAGTGTTTAAATTAAATGCATTGCAAAAGAACATGCACAACTTTGCACCTCTGGAAAGATTTCTTGGTTGTTACTGGCCTTTTAAGCCTGATATTTCAGTTCTTTCTTCATTATTGTCTTGGGCTCCAATCTAACTCCTTCAGAAAGCACAAACAATCATTTAGTAGAATTGAGCTCTGATTTAATGCTAGGCAGAAAAAAAAATGCAGCTTTCTAAACATTAATTTAGGCTTCACATTTATATAACATAATACCCTTCTGCTTTTGAAATACTCAGTTCAGACACCAGTTTTATCGTAAATGATAGATTTTTCTCTAGAAATAGCCTATATAATTCTCTAGAAATAGCCTATATAATTCAATTACTTTTTTCCCTCAACTTCTGAATATATTTTAAATAATTGAAATACTTTCAGATATAAGAACATTCATAAAGTCTACACCTCAACTTCTCCATCACTTTTTTGATTGAAAAGGTTGAAGAGATGTGGGGGTCCTGAGGCAGTTCAAAACTTTTTACCATTTTTATATTTTAGCAAACAAAGGAATTAATGCTCATTGGCTACACAGTTCTCTTATGCTCTTGGTTAAATGATTTCCTTGCCTCCAATGCTAATTAGTCTGCATGTTTAGTCTTTCTCTTCTTTTTAACTAGGGGATTTCTTGTGTTGGTGGTCCATAAGTCAGTGGCCGTGATCTCCCCCTGCTGGAATTACCTTTTACCCAATCAGAGCTGATTTCAGCACAGTTGCTGAGTCGGCTTTCCTTGTGGCCCATGAATTCTGCACTCCTTTTGTCCATTATCAAGGATAATTGATATATTCTTCTCCCTCCCCAGCTTTGTTAACCTCTATGTCTGAGATAACAACCACCTTTACCTTATTTCAAGTTCCCACTGTGGTGGCTTAGCCCACAGGTCCGAGTTCCAGGTATCCACGGAAGCATATTTGGGCAGGGGCTTCAGTGGTTATTGGTGGTCGAAGATGCTGTTTGTCCCATAAGTTGGGGTGATCTTTGTTTGACCGGCGACATGTGTATGAGCAGTTGCTTCTTTACATAGTTTGCCACTGTGGGAATTGTCATCTGGATGTGTTACCCAGGATGTGCCGACCAGACCTTGCCTCAGCCAGGCCTGGATTTAGCACCATCGAGTTGCTCCCTTCTGTGCTTATCTTACAGCAAAGACCTTCTGTGGCCTTAACAAGGTTTGGCACAGGCAACTGTGCTCTGTAAGACCTTACAGCTGGCTTATGAGATACATTGACAGTTTATAGAAGCACTTGCCTTCCAGATTGCAGCACATAATTTAACACTAAACTATTGTCCCAAGCACAAGGAACTGGTTTTATTTTGAAGGGAGAACCACGACAGCACACTTACAAATTGATTTATATCCTGTCAATTGGCACGTGTCTGGGGAGAGTTCTTTCCTCCCCACTGTTTTTCTGCAAATAAAATATTCTGAGCAACTAAAGTTTGAGACCAGCATGCCAAACCCAAATACCTCAGATATTTTTCAGCTTTATGTATGAAAAGCAATAGCCGGGTAGCTTTAGAAAACTGCCAGATTATTTTTAAAACCAGACTCCTGACTCATTCCCTCCTCTCATTCTTGGATATATGTGATTTGGTGGAAAAATTGTCCTCAATAATGTTATTCTTGCAGTAAATACACCACATTGAAGTACTGAATGTGATCATAACCATATTGAAGCATTACACCAAAAGATCAGCCAGTTAAGACCTTCTTCCTAAACTCAGAAGGATTATTTTGTTGGCCGGAAACAACTGATACGTGGCAGTCTGGAGGATGCAGAAGCCCCCTGGCTTCCCCCTAGATTGCCAGTAGGATCTGCAAAGAAAATGCCCCATATTTCCAGCAACAAGGACAGCTAGGAGCCAGCAGGGAATAGGCAGAACTGGCACATCACCTTTAGGAGGGCAAAGTGCCCACTGAGTTCAGCATCATACCCATTCATCTTCTCCTACTTCACATACTCTCACCCTTGACCAGATTTCCCAAGAATTCAGGGGCAGAAGCCGTGACACAGGTCGATCTCAACGTTATCTCTCAGGGAGGTTTCTCCACCTCCACCGATTTTTACACAATAAGGGTATGTCCTGAATTACAGCAACTGAGAGTCCTAATGAGACATTCATGCTTGTCCTGAATTCATCTTGAAATGGAGGCCGATTGCATTAAAGTGAGAGGGATGTTGTTTATATATGCAACTAATTTATATTATTACTAAGTTTCCCTGTATCTTATCCTTTCACCAACCTTCTATCAGCTCACTTGATACAAAATCCTTTTTCCTGTCAGATAGGGCTCTGAGGTGAAAGACATAGTCACAACATTGACAATTTTCAATAACATGTAAAAAAAATATGTTAATAGGAGACAAATAACCTCTGCTATCTTGTTGGTTAATCCTAATCCTTGGCTTTTATAGTCTAAATTGCAACATTATATCAAAATTTCTCAAGTGGATTCTGATTCTAACAAATGGAAAAGTTCCCACTTTCCAGATGGCCGAATGTTTGGATTGGACAGATTAATAATGTAGTTTCTCTCTCTTTTACTAGTAAATGTATAAAATTATCTGCTACACTGTCAGCAAATACCATCCCTGACTGATATTACCTCTTTCTGAACAGATACAAGGGGGAAAAAACCCTCACAAACCCAATCCTATCTTCAGTTATCTAATGATCTTTTAATTTCAAATATAAAGAAGAGAATACATGACCTTCAGTCCCTGATAAGTCATTCAAAAAGTTAAGATTATCTTTTTACCGTGTCTTTATGTAAAAACTCATAAGACTTTGATTTTTTTTTTTTTTGAGGCAGAGTTTGATAAAACTGCACAAAAGGATAAAGACAGGAAAACTTGGAAAAGAAAGACAAATCAGTCTCTTCATCCCCATATATCTTTTCACCATCAAAACCTTTTAACCCCCCTCATTTTTACATATTGTTTTTACCAGAAAGTGTAATTTTAAGACAGCTACCTTAAATTTTAAGATGATCTCTTAAAATTATCCATCTTAAAATTCACATGAAACAAGAAGGAAAAACAAACACTATAGCACTCCCACTCTACAAGGTGAGTAAAACACTTCAGAATAATTTTGGCAGCACTCCCTGGATTTAGTTTCCCATATGCCAATATGGGAATGCCAATATACATTACACAAATGCCTCTCTGTCATATCAGTTCCCACTTACTCATTTGTGAAACAGTTTTATGTCAGTGAACAAGACAGGACTGTAAAAACATGCCAAGTGTTGCACGGGTATACCGTAACTTTTCAAGGTGTACTCCCACAGTAAGTATGCCCAGCTTCTCCTATCCCCAGCAGCTTCAGCAAAACTCATCAGTTCACACAAGAATTCTCCCAAAGAACTAAAACCCATAGCAGGAAAGTAATTGAACCAAAAGCCAAAACCTAACTACAAAGAAAAGGCCATTTTCCTCCTTCTGTCTCTCAGTTCTACTCTGGCAAAACACATAGACATAACAATCCCCAAGAGGCAAATTCAGGAGTTCTCAGTATATACAGGAAAAAGCTCACTGTAGCAATTCTTCTCTCTTCTCACATGTAGAGAGGAATATATTTTCCTCTCTTATGGAGCCACTGTCCACCAGACTTTGAACAACCATCTCCATGATCGTCTTCCCCCACACCCTTGAAGATGGAAACAACCAACCTCCCTTTCTCAAGGGAATTTTTTCCAAATTCTTTGTACCTCAAAATCACTGGGCAGAAGGGTGGTTCATCCAGGAGGTAGCAGGCAGCAGCCTGAAGCAAGATATGGTGAGCACACCTCTATACTCATGAAGCAGAGCTTCCTCCTGGGCTTGGCCAGATAGGAGAACTCAGGGAGTGGGGGCTTGTCCACCATGGAAGCACACCACACACAATGGCACCTGCTGACAACTCACAACACCAAATGTTTTGACACTACATTGGACACAACACTGTCTAAGCACTCTCTTCAAAGCTTATGTCCTTTGAGCCAGTATTTAGGAAAAAAAAATGATCTACTTGCTGTAGTCACAGGACAGGAGTGTTTCCTAAATTTCCTACATCGAGTGGGATATTCAAGTGATTATATAATTATAAATATTCAGGATTTGTTTCATCACACTAATACCCTCATAGGTTTCAGAATAAGGTAGTTCCTGATGCTCACCCCTATGCTTCTCCTACTAGGTTTGATACTTGTTTGATTCAGAAATATTGGCACAGAAAATGTCAACAATGACAATCAAAATCTTCTAGAAAAAGCTACTTGATAAGTCCATCATGGCTGAGGCTTTATGTTTCTTACTGGCAAGTTTGACTTAAAGTCTCAGTTTGGACTTTTCAATGGTGAAAATTCAAAGGCACCTTCAGTTAATTTTGAAGAGAGAGGGTTATTGAATAAAATCAAAGTGGATAATGCAATCACTACAACATCCTCTGTGTTATTTAATTTTATATTTATGTCAATTATTTTATACTGCTACTACATTTTTAGTATTTCTGGAGTAGCATGAAATTTTACATCAAATTATGGAATTTATCAGAGACAGAAAGAAAGGTAATTTTTAAAATGAGACTGAGGATGGGTATAAGAAGCCATTTAGATATATGGAATTGTTCACATTACATCAGCTCTTAAACCATCAACACTGGGAATATTAGGCACAAAAATTATTATTATTAAATTTCGGAACCAATTCTCCCCTGCTGACGAATGGAGAAATTCATCCCTTGCCCAGTGCTGTGGGCTTAGGCTGCATTACTTGAAAAAATTACACCCTTGTTTAATTTGGTTCTAGATTTAAGTGGGTAAATCACCTGTTTAATTAAACTTCCTTGGAAGCATTAGGAGGCTTGCACAGATGACAGTGCTGCTTTGAGCATCACTAATTTTTATTAGCAACTCTTAGGACTAGGGTCCACACAGAAGTGAAAGCTGAGCCTCAGGAGAAAAGTGTTGCAGCAAAAGGTGGCGTTGGTGGCCAAGTCCTCATGGCTGGATGACAGAAACACAAAAGGGTTGAGATAAGAGTTCGTAAAGACATCACCATATAAAAGCAAAAATCATAATGCCCAGAGAGTGTTCCTACCTGCAGGATAATAAATACTGCACCTCTTACACAATTTTTTTTTTGTGTCAAAAGAGCAGTAATACCTATCACACATGAGCCAAAGTCTTTAAATGAGTTTGATTCTATTAACTCTGCTACTAATTGCTTTACATAATAGCAAACAAAGGAAAATATTTTCCTCTTGTTGATGGGCCAGTTGTGTAACTATTTCTGTCCAATGCTCATAGAATGACACAAGACAGCAATAAGAGTGTAGTCAGGTAAAAAGAAATTTCCTATTTGAAATCATCTCAACTTTAGTCTTCAGTGGCAGATATTCTGTCACTCCTGTTTGGCACTGAAGAAGAATTACTTTTCTATCTGTCTGGAGGAGCGTGGCTATTTTGCTGTCTGGCACATCAAAGCCCCAGGCCAGCTGATAGTACTTATAAATGTACAGAGCAACAGGGATTGCTGGAGCAAATACTATATGTCTCACTCTCTACACTCTTTCACTCACTTTCAGGGCTTAGGGTGGCTGCAGAGGGAGTTCATCCGTGCCTTCATTTTGGCCTTTTCTGTTGCAACATTGACTGGGCCACAAAGGGCAACCTGCCTGTAGCCACCATTGTAGTGGGAAATAAAGGGGTCACACCAGGTGTATTCTGCAGATTCCTTTCTCCATTAAGTACAACCCAAAAAAACCCAGCTGCAAGATCTTATTCCTGTCAGACATTCAGAAGTGGAAACAATGGCTTGTAAGCAGGAAAATCAACAATAAGACCAAGAAATTTTCTTTCTGTACCTGTCTTAAATTTTCTCTTGTTCTCTTTTATGTTGACTTTGTGTCCTAATAACTACACTTACACACATAAAATATAATAAATATCACAATACTCCATGTAGGAGTGATCCTCCTCAAAGACAGCTATAATATGTCTATGACATAAACGTGTAACAATAGTCTTATTTGTGTTTCCATGTCTGATATATAGGAAATTATATGATTTCACACGTTAATTATTTACTGGCAGAGCTTCCCTTTTCTACTTTGCAGGATCTAGCCTGTACAGCACATATAATACCTTTCAAAAAATTTAAAAGGAAAAAAAAGGAGAAAGAAAAATCTGTACTTAAGTATCTAAAGAACCTTTTATTGCTGATTCTCTTCTACTACACAGAAAGAATCTCATAGCACAGGGTTTGTGGATGACCTCTATGCAAGACCCAACTTCTCCTGTCAATCCTGCTGGTTTGTATATGTAGAAATCATCATGAGCAGAAAGCAACTCTCATGGTATTGAACTTCTGACACCGGTCAGCAACTTCTGACTCCATGAAACGAATTCTGATAGATAGCAATCACAAATACATCAGGGAAAGCTTCTTTTGATGAAGAGACTAATCTATACACTGAAGAGTTGAGAATTTTATAGAATTCTCAAAGTCTTGGCTGTATTTCCTAAACCACAAAATTACTTTGAAATGTTTCATTTATCTTTCTTTGAGTCTTTATCAATTGCCAGCCTCCTTTGCTCGAATTCATAAAAAATTCTTAGAGAGAAAAGCCTGGAAAAGGCAGAGGTAGCATGGCTAAGAATGCTATTACATTTTTTCTTTTGATCAGCCTGTACAAATTATGGTGGGTAATTGGTCTCATAGGAATAAGTAACTCTTACGAAGAACAGACAAATAAATTCAAATAAGAGAGACAGTAAGTAGAATCAACAGAAGTAATGTCGGGATTGTTGGCGTGGGAATTTAAATTTGGGTTTTTCAGCTTTTTTTCCCTTTTTTTTTTTTTAATTTTTTTTAGTCATAGTATTGTGTTGCTTAGGAATTGCATACATAACAAAAGAAAAATTAACTTTTTTATTTGCATGATATTTGAATGATGTTGAAAGTTTGGATCATCATTATGCATTCAAGGCTCACTGAAGGCTAAGCTTCAGTCATAGTTACAACATAGGATGCAGCTCACTTTCTTAGTGGCACTAATGGTTTAATCATTCCTACTATTCCTTGAGCACTTTTACATTCTCTGAGCTTTCTTTAAAGACACGATCTTGCACTTTTTTCTGATCTTGTTTATTTATATCCTTCTCTTACTTTACTTCTACGCAGATCTTCTCCTATACTTGAACCCCAGGGAACACACACTGCATAGCACTACAGTCTCAATATTGGAAGTAGTGATGTGAATTATATAAAATCAGATTATAATAAGCATAAAATACGAAACTTCAGTCACACTTGTGAGAATTCCCACATGGAGGAGTAGATTAATTCAGAAGTGTCAAGTCACATGAATGAAACGTGACAATGATATACAACCTCAGGAACAGGGATTTCACCCAAATATTTCACCCAACCACCCATCGAGAACATAACTGATGTGAAATATTCACAATACAGTGACTTTCTCGGGAGATTTTATCTACCCTTTCTTTAAGGCTAAGAAACAAAAAAATTGCAGGAAAACACCAGAAATGAAGTCATCTCATTTAAATTTAGCCAACTAAAATTAGATATCTATGCTTAACAAACTGCTTAGCCTTTGTCTCAACATCATGTGTCAGACAACTCTAAAGGATATTTCATCTCATTATAAGTAGGAGTCTAAGACAGTAAAAACTATTATACTCTGAAAGCACATATTACCCATGTATAAACTTACATGTGTGTATAGATAGATAGATAGATTTGACTATACAAAGAGCATCAACGTTTATATCATGCTAGGCACCTCCCAGAGAGGTCAGCAACATGAGATGAAATGCATCCACTCTGGGTGGCAAGGGATGCTTATCACACTGGTCTATGGAGCAGAGGTGCCAACAGCTGATCATGTGGTCTCACTTAAACTTGTTGCTGGCTCTGCTTAACTTGATGAGCTCATGCTCAAGGCCCCTCATCTCTTAAGTTAAAGTTCAGAAGTGTACATCTTAGGGATTCAAGCTAGTTTCACAGTGCATACAAATGAGCAGACCAGCAAACTGTTAGTAGGATTGGTCCCCCCCAGCCTTTTAATGATCATTTCTTACATAAGAAGTTAATTCCTGTTTGTAATACAGTAAAGGAAGAGATCATATGCAGATGTCAATTTTTCTTTGTGCCTCACTCTTTTTTTGGTCAAAACACTGTGTGTAACTACCTTTTCCCAAATGTCTGATCAAGAACATCAAGTAGTCTTGGGGAAGCTGTACATAGTAAAGGCACTGAAGTATTAGTAACTATCATAGAGCAGATGTATACAACCCTATAGGCTCATTATCATACTTATCCTCTTTGTTCCCATCTGAGGCTGGCCCAGTTTTCTAATTCTTCTGTTTCTGGATCTGACTTCTGACTTGTTTCATTCCCAGTCTGTTTACTGAAATACATCTATCTTTGTAAGTTATACTGCATTTATACTATTTGTCGTGGAAGGGTTGATTACAATAAAACTGAAGTTTGTGTACCTGTCTCGACTGGCTCTTCCCCCCTAAAGGGACAGCTCATTATCTTTACAGGAGCGCAAAGGGTGTTCTGTGCCTACTAATGTTGCACTGTGAGGAGCAAGTCACAAA